GTCCTTGGACGTTGTCCGGTGGTGAGAGGTCGACGTCGACTGTGAAAGATAGATCACGAGAGAGAGAGAGACTGAAAGAGGGCGAGCAGAGAATGAGAAAAGGGGAGATGAGAGAGAGAGAGAGAGAGAGAGAGAGATTACCTATTGATGTCGGTGCCCTTGGATGTTGTTCGGTGGTGAGAGGTCGATGTTAACTTTCAGTTCGGTGGTGAGAGGAGAAAAAAGCCCTCATTCGTGCCCCAACTTTTAGCGGCAGTCGATGTATTCTATAGCGGCAGTTGGTCTTCAGACATCTGATCCTTAAGTCAGGGATGAGTGATGAAAGATAAAAAGCAAGAGAACAAGAGAGCAAGATAGCTTTTAGTGCTTAGTCGTGCATAACTTCTATGGTTAAAATTAAGGATGCCTTTATATAGGCACAGGTAGTTGTGACCAACTCCTCGGAGGGAGGTCTCCCCTTTTGACGAGGTTCCTAGTCATATCCTAATGAGGTTGCCAGTCTACTCTACCAAGGTGGTTTCGATGCACCTGCAAGGTGAAAGAATGGTAGGATCCATTTAATGGATGCCATAAAGGTTGCGGAATGGGTGGGCGAATTTCAAAAAATTTTCCTACCTTCTCCCAACTGGGAATCACATTCCCTAAATTTAGAATACAATATTCAAGGACCTTACTTGAACCATAGTCGAACCAGATCTGAACCAAAACAAAAAGGGAGAAATATACTTGATCCGGAGAAGCAGTATCTCCCAAAGTTGGTGTTCACACCCAAAGAAGAAACTAAGATCCGCTCCTGCTGAAGATGACACTGCTGTGGGTGGAACGGAACCAGTAGGGTGCGTCCTACACACTGGATCATTTGCAAGAATCCTCTGGAAACTCTGAACACCGAATCTTTTTCAGTCTTTCCTGCAAGACTGATGTCAAGAACTAATTTCTCGACTTCCTATTACTGCAAAGATCCAATCTTGCAAGAGGGAATGGCGGCGGCTGGAGGAGAACTCCAGGGACGAAGATGGTTGAACTGTTTCTCTTCTCTCTGGAGTCTATATGAGATCAAATCTCAATTTGCAAGAGGTATCCTTGCACACACAACCCTGATTCGAAATTTGATGTCTCTCTTAGGCTTTCTCCTCTTTTCTTCTTGATTAAGAAACCTCCTAATCAGGAGTTATCCCAATCCAAATYAGTATTTGGATAGGGGATTATCTTAATCCTATCTGCAGATTAAGTTAGCTTACTCCTGATCTTATCAGGAGGTTACTAGATTCAAATATAATTTGAATTTGGTCTCCTAGAGTGGATAAGGTTAAAGGCCCAATCCTTTTACTAACATTAATCTCAGATTCGCCCCATAAATGGGTGATCATATCAGTCCAACTCGAAATGGGCTTTTGGCCCATTTAGTGTTCAGTGTTTAATTAGTTTCCAATCTGCTGCCCAGTTGGGCTTCTTTGTATGGCGTGGGACCCAAGCAATGATCTACACACCAGCCACATGGGTTCGGCCTAGCCTTTATTACAAGGCCTAGCCGAATTTCACTGAAAAAACTCAGTAAACCCCTGAGCCCATCATATGGACCCTATGAGCCCAACACATACATTAAGTGGTCCCTGGGCCAAGCCATCTTATAAAAATCCAGGGACTGTGGGCAGGTGCAAGATTAGTCCATTAGGTACTATCCTAAATGGTCTTACACTTAACCTCTCAGCCCTTAATGATCAAGCACTGCCCGACAAGAGAGGACCTCTCCCTCGGYTRCAAGGAACAGTGCCGCACTCTCTACTCACATGGATCCCGGGAATTAAAACCATTTGCAAACATTTTGAAACCGTACA